TGATATGTTTTTTTTTTTTGTTGTGAAGTGAAAACTTCTTTAGTGGCGCTGAGCACTTTTTTTTGTATGGGTAAAAACTTGCAAACTCGCGTCAGGGTCCCGTTATGCTGATCGAAAAAGCGTAAAATCGAGGGGAAGGGAGAGGAACTAGTATCTCCCACTCTTTCTACCGTGCCTGAGTCATGGTACAGTTAAACAAGGTAGTCTCGTCGGCTGCAAAATCGCTCGGGTTTTTCCCCCCTATGGTTTAGTGCGCTCGGGATTTCGAAGTGAGAGGTTGTCCGCGGACGATTTTTTCTCAAAACGTTAACCCTTGTGTGCTTGTGAAAAATACTTGTTGCAATTATTGCAGCAAGCACATACAAGGCGTAACATGTAATATTGCAGAAAAATATTTTGAAATGTGAACAATATGGGAGCCAGTCTTGAAGGGCAGCTTTGTGTAAAAACCAAAAATTTCGGAAAAATTTCGGAAAAATTAATACTTATGGTCATATAACAGTCCTTTTTAAACCCCGTGCACAGCATAAGGGTAAAACGATATCATCTTCTTCTGTTTCTTTCGCACTTACGGGAAAACACCCTCTCACTCGCACTCATTGTAGTGCCCAATAGGGGGAAAAAAAAGCCGACGAGACTACCTTGTACTTACACTTAAATAGGTTCGGATCAAAACTGTTTGTTTCTTACTTCAGTTGTCATAAACCAATTGTATCAGTTGTAAAAATTTGCGATGATGATTCTCATAATAACGATGGTGTAAAAGTCGTCGAAATTATGGATGGAAGTTGATTTTTCTGAGAGATAAAATTTAATGTAATATATAAATAACGATATAATATTATAAATAACAACATATAAATTGTCATATTTGTGTACGATAGCGCAATAAATAAACATTGTATTCTACCTCATAAATGATAGTACATTTATACTTATAATTAAACACAACGTTAATAATGAAGTTTTCACTTCTGCCGGCACTCCCGGAGTGCTACCAGTGTTTTTTTTTTTTTTTTTTTTTTTGTAGGGGGGGAAAGTTCGAAGACCCGAAGTGTAGGCCCTGAACCTACCCTCCATTTCCCTCTCACGGTACAACCGCAGGGGTTAACCTTGGGTATTACTTCGCGAGGGGGAGATGGCCTGAAAAGCCGCAAACTAGGTTAGAAGACGATTGCGCTGACGTTCAGCGCGACGCATGGATTTCATGACAAAGACTGTCATTTTGCTTACGGCATTCCAATTGTTTTGTGCGCCCAGTATCGTATCCATCAGGTCAGAGACCGTGAACGGCTTCCCAATTGCTAAGCTTAGCTCATGCCTTCTAGCTCCAAATCTCGGACAGACAAAGAAAACATGTTCTGCGTCTTCGATTGCCCCAGTACAGTGTGTGCAGAACGGGTCTGTCTCGTGCCCAAACCTATGAAGATAGGATTTCAAGCACACGTGTCCTGTCAGAAGTTACGCCATGTAGAAGTCAACTTGTCCGTGCTTTCTTTCTGTCCAACACTCCACATCGGGATGCACAGATTGTACGTCCACCTACCTTTTGAGCTTCCACTACATCGGTTTTGCCATGCTGAGACCACGCGGGCTCTAATCTCCTCGATCGGTGCATTTTCGCCGGCCAGCTCCTGCGCCTATTTTGCGAGCAGGTCTAGGGCCTTTATTTTTTTCAGGTTTTTTTTTATAACAATTAAGTGCGCGCGCACTTTTGCATTGATACATATGCTATATTATTTTTTGAGGTAATTGTTAATAAAAAAGGTAAAAAAAAATTTTAAGTTAAACCGTTTTATGTAAATCATGTACTAAATGTACTAAAAGCCTAAAAATAATATAAAATAGATACAGACGTGAGAAATTTAAACATATGCTTAGACTAGACTAAAATAAAACCGTGGGGCAAACAAACATTTTAATCAACGATTATACACAATTGACTTGCCCCACGGTTTTATTTTAGTCTAGTCTAAGCATATGTTTAAATTTCCCACGTCTGTATCTATTTTATATTATTTTTAGGCTTTTAGTACATTTAGTACATGATTTACATAAAACGGTTTAACTTAAAAATTTTTTTTACCTTTTTTTATTTTCTAGTTTTTAGTTTTTATTTCGCATTTTTATTTATATTTTTTTTACCATTTTGTTCCCACGAGTAATAGTCATTTAAACGGTCGACGCCCCAGAGGTCCAATAATTAGTACATTTATCTTAAACATTGCAATGTATGTTTAACATAAAACCTTTTAAATTAAAAAGTTTTTTTTTAACAAATTTGATTAAGTTTTTATTAGTTTTTAATTCGCATTCTGTTTAAGGGGGCTTCTCATGTAAAATTTAAAAAAATCGATTTTTTTTTCATGGATCGATAGAATAACATCTTGAGAGTTAATTTCCGAAGTTTTATGACTCAACTCTCAATCTTATGGAAAATATGAGTGATTGAACGAGCGCCCTCAAGTTCAAGACCCACACTAACTCAAAACTTTAAATAGTTTTTTCTCAAAACTATGATTTTAAAAACGCGGTACACGATTACGAAAAAAATACTAAACCGATTTTTGATTTCTAAAAAGTGTTTTGCAGATTATACATTGAACGAGTGCATGAATATCTGAAATTGTGAAAAAAAAGTTATTTTATACACTTTTCAGTCCAATTCAGCAAAAAAAAAGACGAAAAAATGACACTTTTTTTCAAGACGTGATTTCAATATTTTAAAATCGAATTTTTTGAAGTTGCAGACATTCATGCACTTGGGGGAACCTTGCTGAATAATAAAAATTTTTTTTTTGTATGTTTAAGATGAAAACTTTGGGCTCCACACTGTACCGCAATAAGTCCCTCAGCCGCGTCGAGCCACAGGCGACCTTGAATAAGTCCACCATTTTGTTTTTTAGAATTTTCAAAAAATGTTTTTCTCATACTTTAAACATGTCTTCAAATATATGCAAAAAATTATTCGTGTAAGTTTTCATTTTCCAAGTGAAAAAAATTCCCAAAAAACAACTACTTTTTGACATGTTACATGAGAAGCCCCCCTTAATTCATTTAGTGCTTCATTATTGCATGGTTTCTTGCCCGTTAGTTTGTTGCAGTCCAACTTCGCTATACGTAGTCCCTGCAAAGATCTTACTCTACTAAGAGCCACGTAAGCTTGACCTTCTTCAAACAGTTTCGCACCTAAGTATACGACTGCGTGATCCACAGTGCTGCCCTGCATTTTATGTATTGTAGAAGCCCATGATAGTATTAAAGGCAACATTCTTCTCTCAGCCGTCCCGTAATTGTACTTAGCTGGAAACTGTATGGCTTTCGGGTGTATAAGATGTACTCCGTCTTTTTCGAAATCAATTCGGACGGAAGGTACATCTGTTGCATACATCTGAGTTCGACGAAATTGAGGCCAAACGATTTCGTTGATGTAGCCTATAGCGCCATTTACTAATCCCTTCGAAACGTCAAAATTGGACCGTAGCATGACTTTTGCCCCCACAAATATTTCCAGTTCTGCTGGTAAACCTCCAGTTTTGTTTCTATCAACTTCACTTTCTTTAGCTCGTTTTGCTTTATAAAATAATAAATATTATTTTAACATATTGTAATTCTAAACCATCCTCAAAACCCCTGGAATACACACAAAAAATTTCATCAAAATCGGTCCAGGCGTTGTTGAGTTATGCGCTTACCAACACATTTCGCGATTCATTTATATATATAAGATTTAGCTTACCCCGTTTGTTGTCAGATTGATCTGAATTAATCTGATGTGTTTGACAGTGACAATGATACCCATGTTGATGGGATTGATAAAACATAAGTTATCCGCTATTTTGCAGAGGCCGCCATATTGAATTTTAATTTTATATAGTACATTGTATTCTACTTTTTGAGACCTTTCATTTGATACCCATATTGATGGGATTAATAGAACCTACGTTATCCGCCATTTTGCGGCCGCCATCTTGGATTTACAATGTTATTGACATTACTATATTGTATTGTCATCGGAACTGAAGGTGTGTACCAAATTTCAGATCAATCTGACAACAGGAAGGTACTTAAATTTCAATTTCTAATTTTGACCCTAGGGTGACCTAAATAAAACAGTTTAAAAAAGAAAATTCCGCCAATTTTCAGTTATTTGCTTAGTTTTTTTATAACAATTACCTCAAAAAAATAATATAGCATATGTATCAATGCATATGCTATATTTTTTTTTTTTAAGGTAATTGTTATATAAAAAAAAGCTAAAAACTGAAAAGAATAAATTGAAGTGTCTGTCTTCGGCCAAAAGTACCGCAAATATTGAAAGTTCCACGGAAAATATGTATGTGCAATAAGTATTTTCGCCCGCTACCAGCCCTCACTATTATCGGAAATTTAAGGCTCGATATCTCGTAAACGGTGCGAGATATCGAAAAATTTTATTTAATAAAAAGTGTTTATTTTGGGCCAATTACCCAAAATATGTCCTCAAATCTTGGCGCCCCGGAAACTAAAATCTCCCCTAGCGCGGAAATGCATGTAAGAGTTTTCCGCTGATTTTCGAGGAAATTTCCATTTTCCAAGGTAAAAAACCTTCTGCCCCTCCTAAGGGGGTGATTATCTTACGAAAAAACCCTTGATTTGGTTCCCAATTTTTTTTTTTTGGGCTGAAATATAGCTGGAGTCAAATTTCCGAAGTATTACCTTAAAATCGGTTGCGTGTGGTAGGCGGTAGGTTGCCACACACACAATATCAACTTATTTTTATGTATAAGATATGTAAATACATATATTCTCCTGTGGAGGAAATGCCCATTTTTATTAACAAAAAATTAAAAGCAATGAAATCCATTGATAATAAAAACATACATAACTGTGAATCGGGGCTTCTTTTAGAATTTAGTTGAAAAATTGCTTCATGGTGTTAGCAGTTCTACATTATACATATGTTAAGTTTTGAACGCTACCTTGACGCATATTGATGTGTATCGAATTTTCCTTTGCCGGTGCTTATTATGGGAAATATTTATTGGTCACTCTGATTTCAACCCGATTTTTTTATGAAAATAATTTGTTTTAAATCGCTTTCAATTTAAGACAACACTGTTAAATATGGCAGATTGGGCTAAAAAAGCGGATGATCAGGAAGTTTCTAAGCTGGTAGTAAGCACTTACATTGAAAAATAAAAATACGATAAGAAAATGACTTGTTTATTTCAGGTCGACCAACTAAACCTAAAATCGGATCTTGTTTATACTCAAAAAAACAAAAACAATGAATTAAAAGTAAACAAACTTGTCGACGATTGTGAACCTGATGTCGCTGAGTAAGTGTTTACAGAAACAACATAAATGTTTTGGCTAATATTAAAAAAAAAACAATGTATAAAAGCTTTCCAACATCTAAGTTACAATGATTTTGCTCTTAATATTCAAAAATTTCAGAAATAGTCGTCAGATCAGAAATCGTCTAAAAGTGCGGCCCACGCTAGAATTAGAGTAAAAAATGTAAAACACGCAAACGATGTGTTTTTTGATAAAACTTCGAAATAAGTAAAATTAAAAATGTAGCCTCAATTCTTATACCTTTGTATAGCAAAGGGTAATATAATTTCAGTCCGAAGTTTGCAACGCAGTAAAAGAGACACCTCAGACCCCATATAGTATATATGTATGTACATAGTACATACATACGTCTTTCCGCTCCTCACTAGGTGTTAGTATCTTGGGCCTACCAGCTTTACTGAGATCTGCAGCTAAATCTCATGTGTCCAGCAATTTTTTTTATCACGCTATGTATTGTGGAAGGTGTTTTGTCAAAACTTTTATGACTATTCTTAACTGTTTCCTAATATAAAACAAAACAAAAAAAAATCATCGAATTACGTTGCAATCAGAAATAAAAGTCAATAAATGAAAAGTGTACGAATAATTTTTGGGCCGTATTTCAGGCACTTATTTTGAATTTCTTTCACTAGATGTTAGAGCATTGTAAAAAAATAATTTTTTTTTATTCTAATGGCTTCAGAAAATATCTGTTTTTAAAATTACGAAAGTTCTGTGAAAAATGCAGTTAAACTTTACAACAGTGAGCGTCCGAATAAATTGTGCGCTGACTGTATATGTACATACATATATGTGAATAATGGGAAAAAAATGATATGGTCTTTGTTTTGTATCCCACAAACATAATTTTTTTTAACTACCCTTAAATCGAGAAAAAAATTTCAAAAAAAATCGGGCAACTATGTATATTATATAGTTGTCTAGGAAAGATTGAAAAACCTATATAGAATTATCGGGAAAAAATGAAAACATCGTTGTTTTTCATCAGACAAGAATAAATTTTGGAATAGAGTGTTTTTTATCGTAAAAATGGAACGGCTATATCATATAGCTGTCATATGAACAATCGTCGAAAATATGGAAAATCATAATTTTTTTTTAAATAGGCAGCTGGCAAAAATTATACGCACTTCTATTCAAAACACACTGTACAAATAAATTAATGAATTGTAATCTAAATGACGAATTCCATTTTTCTTTTCCCTCTTTTTGAAAACTTTTCTATCACTTTCTCGATGTCAATACTGATTTCGGAAGGAGTATGTAGCAATGCTAGGCCAGTTAGCCTTCCCTCACCCATAGTTGTACGCAACCATGTTTTCAACCTGCGAAGAGTTGAAAAACTACGTTCTGCCGTAGCATTGCTAACCGGAAGTGTGGCCAAAATCTGGACGAGTACCCAGCGGGAAAAAGATGTGGAAAATATGCTATTTTTCAGTGGTTTCTTCATACAAGCGGAAGGGCAAAAACCTCCTTCACCCCTTACATTTTTGCCGTCTCTCCTTTCAAAATACACGGGGGTGACACACAAAAGGAAGGGGTAAAGGAGGTTTGCAGGCCAAAAACCTGTGGATGCTCTGGCTGCTGAAAGCAGGGCAAAATCCAGTGGACCTACGGCTGCTGAATGCAGGGCAAAATCTAGTGGACCTACGGCTGCTGAATGCAGGGCAAAATCTAGTGGACCTACGGCTGCTGAATGCAGGCCAAAATCCACTGGGTTTTGGCCTTCCCGCTTTACAGAATTTCCACATGTAAAAAACAATACTTTTTAATTTGGTATTTGCATTTATTAATCTATATACAGTCCAAGGACCTTTGTCATAAGTATTTTTGTATATTATATTTTTTGCCTCAGTGAACGATGAACGCAGATCATCTTGATATTGGCGATGACTGTAATTGTCGTTTCTGAGTGACTCTGAAAATAAAAACCATAATATATTAATATATAACATATAAATAAAAATCAAAAAATATTTAAAAAGTATTGGGAAAAATAGAGAAATTTAGAAAAACAAGTATACTTACCATATAGTACGTTGGAGAAATTATTATATGAATTTTTAAAAAATTTAATTACATAGTAACAAGCATGGCTATTGAAATTTATTAAAAATGTAGTGAGTACTTACAAATGCTTCTGGATTGACTTCGGCATCGGAGTCCAAGTGGCCGAGTTCTTCAAATGACGAAATCGAAATGTCCGCTTGCGCACGTTCAGATTTGCCATTAATATTGACATATGGGCCAGAATCTTTGATGTCGAATCTATTACAAATTTTATGAAAAGAAACATTTGTTTGTTCTTGTGAACATTTTAATCAACGATTGTACACAATTGACTTGCCCCACGGTTTTATTTTAGTCTAGTCTAAGCATATGTTTAAATTTCCCACGTCTGTATCTATTTTATATTATTTTTAGGCTTTTAGTACATTTAGTACATGTTTTACATAAAACGGTTTAACTTAAAAATTTTTTTTACCTTTTTTTATTTTCTAGTTTTTAGTTTTTATTTCGCATTTTTATTTATTTTTTTTTTTTTACCATTTTGTTCCCACGAGTAATAGTCATTTAAACGGTCGACGCCCCCAGAGGTCCAATAATTAGTACGTTTATCTTAAACATTGCAATGTATGTTTAACATAAAACCTTTTAAATTAAAAAGTTTTTTTTTAACAAATTTGATTAAGTTTTTATTAGTTTTTAATTCGCATTCTGTTTAATTCATTTAGTGCTTCATTATTGCATGGTTTCTTGCCCGTTAGTTTGTTGCAGTCCAACTTCTCTATACGTAGTCCCTGCAAAGATCTTACTCTACTAAGAGCCAAGTAAGCTTGACCTTCTTCAAACAGTTTCACACCTAAGTATACATACGACTGCGTGATCCACAGTGCTGCCCTGCATTTTATGTATTGTAGAAGCCCATGATAGTATTAAAGGCAACATTCTTCTCTCAGCCGTCCCGTAATTGTACTTAGCTGGAAACTGTATGGCTTTCGGGTGTATAAGATGTACTCCGTCTTTTTCGAAATCAATTCGGACGGAAGGTACATCTGTTGCATACATCTGAGTTCGACGAAATTGAGGCCAAACGATTTCGTTGATGTAGCCTATAGCGCCATTTACTAATCCCTCCGAAACGTCAAAATTGGACCGTAGCATGACTTTTGCCCCCACAAATATTTCCAGTTCTGCTGGTAAACCTCCAGTTTTGTTTCTATCAACTTCACTTTCTTTAGCTCGTTTTGCTTTATAAAACAATAAATATTATTTTAACATATTGTGAATCTAAACCATCCTTAAACCCCCTGGAATACACACAAAAAATTTCATCAAAATCGGTCCAGGCGCTGTTGAGTTATGCGCTTACCAACACATTCTGCGATTCATTTTTATATACAAGATATAGCTTACCCCGTTTGTTGTCAGACTGATCTGAATTAATCTGATGTGTTTGACAGTGACAATGATACCCATGTTGATGGGATTGATAAAACCTAAGTTATCCGCCATTTTGCAGAGGCCGCAATCTTGAGTTTTAATTTTAAATAGTACATTGTATTCTTCTTGTTGGGACCTTTCATTTGATACCCATATTGATGGGATTGATAGAACCTACGTTATCCGCCATTTTGCGGCCGCCATCTTGGATATAATGTTATTGACATTACTATATTGTATTGTCATCGGAACTGAAGGTGTTTACCAAATTTCAGATCAATCTGACAACAGGAAGGTACTTAAATTTAAATTTCTAATTTTGACCCTAGTGTGACCTAAATAAAACAGTTTAAAAAGTGATCCCCTTGCCATTTCGAATTATCGGGACTCGACTGTATTGGTCGCAATCATTTAGGGCTTCCGCTGCCGATTGTGGAATTGATGTTTTCTTATCAGTCCAGAGTTCTGACCACACTTTGTACTCCCCTTGCAAATTCGCACCGCTTTCTCCCAGAAAACATGTGTAACGTTCACCAAGCGATTCTATGAGCTTTAAAACTTAATAAAACGGTTTTCACAATTCTGACCGGTAACAGAAAATTCAAATCGAAAACTTCTAAATTTTCTTTTGGCAGTCTCTCTTGAAGATCATTCACAATGTGATTCAATAATGGCATGAATATTGCCCTACGATAATATTCTTCAACATTAGCCATCGGATAGTTCGCACGATGAATTTGTTTTATCGTAAGCCGAGGAGTACTGATGTTAAATCCTAATCTTTCGAGATTTTCGTGAACAATTTTGAAAATTGAGTGTCTGCAGATTCTTGATAATTCTTGAGAATATTCAAAGTATTTTTCGTCGCTTCAGAGGCTTGGTTCAAATCAATTGTTGGTGCTTGTAAGAGTAAGCTAAGAGGTCGCGTTATCGAAAGTATGTCACTTAAACAAATCATTGAGACAACAAACTCAGAATCATTAATCGATTTAATCAAAGAAAGGGCCTCTGAAGATGCTTTTGAACTTCGCCATTCTGAAATTTCCTCGAGAGCTTCGACGATTTCTGTGATAACATTTTCAAACTGCATTATACCATCGTGTTTTTCTGCCCAGCGAGTTTCACACAACCCACTCAAATATTTACTACCAAAAAATTTCTTGAAAACTTGGCTTCGTTTCGCCGATGAATTCGCAAAAGAAATAATTTTTTTCATCAGTGTAATACAATTTTTTGTCTGCGGGACTTGCGTTGTTTTGGAGAGTGAATTATTAAGTGTGTGGTTGAAACATGGACAATATTTATTTCTGATATTTGAATTCTGATATTATGACAGAGCAACCATCCGTGCATATACCAACACAATCTTGTAAAGAGAGACCGAATTTTCGGAGAAGATCAATTACACAGTGCGCTAATGCTACCCCAGTTAAGCGTTTTTCACCATTTTCAATATCTTCTTCACGAATTGAATCATAAGCATCAACAAATGTTAGAAAATCTTCTCGAATTTTACCTTCATCGATTTAGCGCAAAC